TTTTTTTTGTTTGTTTTTTCAGTTTTTGGCCAGGGCTGGGTTTGAACCTGCCACCTGTGGCATATGGGGCCAGAGGCCCTACTGCTTTGAGCCACAGGCACCGCCCTTCCTTGCTATTTCTTCCAGGTAGCTCCCTGGGGGCCCTGCCTGGACACCCCATGCTAACAGCCCACACCTGGGCTCCTCCATGTGCCCTGCTCCATATCCAGTGCTTTTTCTTTTTTGGAGACAGAATGTTGTTTTGTTGCCCTGGGTAGAGTGCTGTGGTGTTATAGCTCACAGCAACTTCAAACTCTTGGTCTCAAGAGAGCCTCTTGCCTCAGACTCCTAAGTAGATGGGACTACAAGCACCCACCACTACATCTGGCTAGGGTGATTTTTTTTTTTTTGAGACAGAGTCTTGGTAGAGTGCCGTGGTGTCACATAGCTCAAAGCAACCTCCAACTCCCGGGCTTAGGCAATTCTCTTGCCTCAGCCTCCTGAGTAGCTTGGAGTACAGGTGCCCACCACAACACCTGACTATTTTTTGTTTTGCAGTTTGGCTGGGGCTGGGTCCAAACCCGCCAACCTCTGTATATGAGGGCCAGGGCCTTACCCACTGAGACACAGGTGCCACTCCTAAATCCCAAGTTTCATAGATTTCTTTTTTTAGAGACACACTTTGTCACCCTCAATAGAGTGCCATAGCATCACAGCTCACAGCAATCTCCAGCTCTTGGGATTACATGAATTCTCTTGCCTCAGCCTCCTGAGTAGCTGGGACTGTAGGCGCCCACCATGACGTCTGGCTATTTTTTATTGCAGTTCGGCCAGGGCCAGGTTTGAACCTACCACTCTTGGTATATGGGGCTGGCAGCCTACTCACTGAGCCATAGGCGCCACCAAGACTTTTTTGTTTTTTTTGAAACAAGAGTCTCACTTTGTCATACTGGGTAGAGTGTCATGGTGTCATAGCTCACAGCAACCTTAAATTCTTGGGCTCAAGCAATCCTCTTGCCTCAGCCTCCCCAGTAAGTGGGACTACAGGCATCTAAGACAATGCCTGGCTATTTTTTTTTTT